GGCCCCCCAAATGAGTCTTATTTGACATTACAATATATTTTTCTCCTGCTCTGAAATAGGTGCAAAGACCCCTGGTATTCAACTACGTAAAATTTAGGGGTTTTCATAAGCAAACAAACCTGGCCATGCCTTGCTGCTGCCTGGAACAGCAGAGTGGCCTTTGACCTGGCCTGAGCACGTAACAGTTCCCCACTGCCCCCAACACTGCCTTGTAAAATTGGTCAGTGTCTGTTGCAATGGTGTTTTTATATGCTGACAAATACAAGGAAAAATAATTACATTTGTCCCTAGCATGAATTTGAATCACTCTACCAGGTGGCATCAGGAGTTAGTCACTTAGCTAGTAAGCTTAGCCAACAGCCCAACATCTGCATCTCAACTGTAGTATTTATAAACATGGGGGTGCCTTGAGGTCTCTTTAGATTCCTCCCATTTATTTATTTTTTGTGTGTGAGGAAAATTGGCCCTGAGCTAACATCTGTGCCCATCTTCCTCTATTTTATATGTGGGACGCCTGCCACAGCATGGCTTGATGAGCAGTGCATAGGTCCATGCCCGGGATCTCAACCTGCAAACTCTGGGCTGCCAAAGCAGAGTGCACCAACTTAACCACTACGCCACCGGGTTGGCCCCCCTCCCGTTTATTTTATTTTGTGGCTAGTGCTTCACTGAACTACACACCACTACCCATCACTGTCACCAATAGCCCATTTTGGATATTTAAATCAAGTCATTTATAATCGGTTCTTTTTTCTCCTCTAACTCCTAAAATCATATCCCAGATAATATAGGTCCAAATTTTGAAAATATCCAAATTTCCTAATAAGTAAATATATTCTGCTGCACATTTATTCTAGGCAGCATGTGAACTAGTGGGGAGAAAAATGTATCCACATCAATGTGACATCAGAAAAAAAGATGTGGTCAAAACCACTACTTGATTCTACCCCAGAGCTTCAACTGCAGTTCCCATGTTTTCTCTGATTAGTAGCTTGGGCTACTAATGATGGTGAGCCACACCTTTAGGTGTGGGTCGGCCCATCCTACGGGGAGTCCTACCTGGGAATTCTCATCTGGTTCAGGCCCAGAGATTTGAGAAGGGGTCTACAAATCATTTCTCTCCTGAAAACTGCTCTTTACCTGACCCTAAGCCTGCATCACTGATTGAACCAAAAATAGGTCTTCTACCCTAAAATTACCTTTCTCTCTTAGCAAGAGTTTGCATATCCTTGAGAGGCAGAATGAGAGGCTCTGGAGCCTGACTGCCCGAATTTGAATCCCAGCTCTCCCAGTTTTAGCTATATGGCCTGTGTGCCTCAGTTTCCCGACGTGTAAAAAGAGATATTAGTACCAAATTCATTGGATTGCTAGGTGGATTAAATGAGTTAATACTTTGATTGAAGAGTTTAGGATTAAGTAATTTAGACCAAGGCCTGACATACAAAGCAATCAATAAATGAAAGCAATTTTGATTGTCCTTAAATGACACTTTAATTTTAGATTTAATTTCTTAAAAAACAAAAATAAAGTGTTACATTCAATTCCTAATATGACTTAACCCACTCGATCTAATTCCAAAAATGACTTCGTGCTTAGCTTGAGCTCCATCTGGTGGTTTTACAGCAACTCTCTGGAAAACATCAGAGTCAAATAAAAAGATGACAAATTTCTAAAAAATAGGCTAATCACTTAAAAGATTAAAGGACTATGTTATAGTTCTCAATTTATAATCTTTAGGAATAAAGCAACAGAGAAGTGACCATACCCCTGCACTCATTTTGGAATGTGGAAAGGGCTCCTGTACCCAATTCCAATGAGCATGTGTGTGTGTGTGCATGTGTGTGTGTGTGTGGCTCCTCCACACCAACAAGCGGTTCTGAACGCCAGCAGGGTGTTCAAGAATTCAACTCACTTCTGACACTATCTACCTGGAGATAGAATCAGATTCCACAGGTAAAGGGCTAGGCCCTCAAGACGGCCCTCCATTACAGGCACCAGCCATAAGCCCAGGTTATCACCTGTACTTCTGACCAACTGGCTATAAATCAGAGGTTCCCACAACCCCCTCCTCAGGTTCCATTAATTTGTTAGAATGGCTCACAGAACTCAAGAAAACTCATTTACTCACTAGATTACCGACTTATTACAAAGCATATTAAAGGATAGGAATCAACAGCAGATGAAGAGATACACAGGGCAAGGTCCCCAAACAAAGGAGCTTCTGTCCTCATGCAGGTTGGGGCCTGGCACGGTGGCACATGGAGAAGTTCTGGTTCCTCAATGTGGAAGCTCTCCAGAAAACGGTTGACGAGCTGTCCTTTTGGGGTTTTATGGAGGCTTCGTTACATAGTCGTGACTGACTAAGTCATTGGCCACTGGCAACTGACTCAACCTCCAGCCCCGCTCCTCTCCCCAGAAACCAGGCGGTGGAACTGAAATTTCCAGTCCTCTGATCACATGGTTGGCTTCGTGGGCAACCAGTCCCCATCCTTAGGTGCTTAACACACCAAAAGACACCTTTATCACTCTCAACACTTGGGAAATTCCAAGGGTTTTGGGAGCTGTGAGTCAGAAACTGGATGAAGACCAAATATATATGAGAAATATATTTCAGTCATCTGAGTGACCAATTACATGTATTTCTTTTTTTTTTTTTATAATTTTATTTTATTTATTTTTCCCCCAAAGACCCAGTAGATAGTTGTATGTCATAGCTGCACATCCTTCTAGCTGCTGTATGTGGGACGCGGCCTCAGCATGGCCCGACAAGCAGTGGGTCGGTGCGCGCCCGGGATCCGAACCCGGGCCGCCAGCAGCAGAGCGCTCGCACTTAACCGCTAAGCCACGGGGCCGGCCCCATACATATTGCTTATAAGTCACAATATTACAGAATGCCAGTCTAAGTTTCCGGCCAAAATGTGGAGGTGGGAAGAATCTCGCTGACCGTGCAGTTCAGGAACTCAGTGCCTCAAAGGACCCACTCACAACCTAGTGTGACAATTTCTCTGTAATAGCCACCTTTCCAGAGGCCATAGGGCACTTGAGAACATGTTTCCCAAATAAGCTTTTTGGGATTTTGTTAACTTTTAAGTTAAATCCTGACTGGACAAACTTAAGTGAACATCTAACATCATTGAGGCCCTGGATGAAAGCTCAAAGCCACTAGTAATAGAGTCAAATTGGAGGTTATTAGCCACAGAAAACGTGAACATATCCCTGGCACTGGCCTCTCACTTCAACTTAAAGAAACTCCAGCTTAAAAATACCTGACAGTGCTGCCAAAATTTCAACAAGCACCAAGTGTGTAACATTACCCATGAAGACAATTCCTAGGATGGAAAAAAAAGGTGAACAATTTAGCTAGTGTTTTTAGGCTGTTTTTGTCAGTGGCTTAACTGGATAATGTTAGCAACTTTTTACTTTATGAATAAATCTTTATGTATTTATTTTTTCCTCACAAATTCTAGTTGTTGTTTATAACTATACCAAAAGGCCATGAATGACATTTATTTTCAAACTCACATCTTCTATTAGCTTCTTTCAGGAAAATTTCAAAGATTTACAAATCCACTAACTCCTCAGTAAACTAACCACTGAGTAAGTCGAGGAAAGCCTATGAGATAAAATACTTTTAATATTTTACTGGCATTAAATTGTATAGGTTCAAATCTCCTAAATGATTTGGGTCATGTCCTATTTATCTCTATATTGTGCCCCAACCTAGCAGCGTACCTGGCACAATCTTTGTGACCTAATTCTCCCAGCTCTCACTTTGACTTGGTTCTCCTCTGCCGTTACAGTCTCCTCTGAGCAGATGTCCATGAGGACAGACACCTGTCTTGTTCCTTCTGTCCTAGCACCTGGAGAGCCCTTGGCACACAGTAAGCCCTCAATAACGATTTGTTGCTCCAGTGACATTATGGTGGTTGATATGATTATAGTGAATTTTCAGAGGGAAGGCTAAGTTTAGACTGCTTAACTAAAAGTAAACTTAGAGTGAAATTAGTAAACTGTTATTTGACACAAATCATTTCATTATACCAGCATTTCCAACAGAATATTCTGTTCCTCAGAATACTAGTTTCAAAGAGTCAAAGTTAAACAGGTTTCTTTATTGCTTGATCTCTATAAGACTACACTAAGCTAATACTTTTTGGGAATCTTCAAGTATGTGGCATTTCCCAAATTGAAGTGACCACAAAATATATGTTTTCACCATGCACCTGGAAAAACTGATTCTGAGGAACATACTCTGGGAAATACTGCATTATGTTAGACTACATAATATAAAAACTGAAGAACAGGGGCTGGCCTGATGGCGTAGTGGTTGAGTTCTCACGTTCCGCTTCACCGGCCCAAGGGTTCGCAGGTTCGGATCCCGGGCTCGGACCAACACACCGCTTATCAAGCCATGCTGTGGCGGCACCTCATATAAAGTAGAGGAAGATGGGCACAGATGTTATCCCAGGGCCAGTCTTCCTTAGCAAAAAGAGGAGGATTGGCAAAGGACGTTAGCTCAGGACTAATCTTCCTCACAAAAAGAAACCCAAAAAACAAAAACTGAAGAACATTAAACTAGTTCCCAGGATGTTGTAATCTTCTAAAAACATGGAGCACCCTGATTTGTACATGTTAATATTCTATCAAAAATTTAAGATTTTTTTAAAAAGTTAACTGAAGAATTAGTCTTCTCTACTACTGGAAAACAAAGTATTTATGAAAGAAAAGATCTTCAAGATCTACACACAAAATATCTTTTATTCTGAATTATACAAAATCGAAACTCCAAACAAGTATTGCTTATAAGATCCACTAACATTATATTTTAAAATATTACATAATAGTTTTCTTTAAATAAGAGTTACCTCAAATTCGTCAGAATAGTATCATTTATCTTTACTAAGAACAATTACAACCACGTTAATACTTGGTAGAATTCTGATGTCTGATAATCCCTCCATACTAGACAGCATCCAATTAAATCATCAGTATAATTTTCATTCATCACCGAAAATATTTTATTCAAGCTCCCAAAACAAATCTGAGGCATTGTGTTGGGTCTGAATTGAAGAAAAGGCCAAGTTAAAATATGGAAACAAAGTTTTCATTCGGTAGAAGCTGAAATCAACCTAGACATTCTAATTAAAGATCTACCCCCATAGATGATAGCTCAGAGCCGGTCTTCCTCAGCAAAAAGAGGAGGATTAGCATGGATGTTAGCTCAGGGCTGATCTTCCTCCAAAAAAAAAAAAAAAAAAAGATCTGCCCCCATGGGGCATTTTCCAAGTTCTTAAGAGTCTACCAGGCCAGCCCCTTCGCAGCCTTCGCTTTGCTTTTCCCCCTCCCTTTCTCTCGCTTTGCCTTCAGCCGTTTCCTCTGCCGCTGGTTCATCCATATGGGGTACTGTCCATGCTGGTCTAGAAGAGTCTTTTTGTTTCTCTTAATATCAGTCTCCATTTTCATGTCATCTGAATAAAAAATGAAAAAAACTATCAATACTCACAAATGAAAAAACAACCCTGTGAAAAAGTGCATTAATGCAATGAGATCATCAGAACCGAAAGTGGTCTGAACCTACAAAAGAAAACAATCCCTTATTTGTGGAACACTCTTCGACTAACACTGAGACCACCCCCCCAGCACATTCAACAGAATCACACACATGCTGCCATGTGTTACTACAACCATAAAAGATATGTGTGAGGAACTAGAGACATCATCTATCTGGTCACTGAGAAACTTTCTAACGAATGTTGTCATGATGGCCCTGGAACAGTAAAGGTTACACGGGAAACAGGATGTATGGCTTTGAGTTACTGCATCAGGGATAAGTGTACGGTTCCGAGCACACATGAGTTAAGTCCTTTCTTGAGCTACACAAAATAGTCGAGCCATTAAGAAGTGCACCCACACTTCTAATGGACAGGCCTTGGAAGTAAATGAGCTGACAAGGAATGATGGCCACTTCCAATGCAGTGAACTTGGAAGAGGTGGCGCAGTGAGCAGCAGGCTTGTGATGACAGAGATGGGCAGACGACAGAAGAAAGACCTGGATGTATCCTAGGGCTGCCACACTTTTCTATCCGGGTAACACCCACAGATCCAGTTCTACTACAGGAGACTTGGCAGGAAGCTCAGGGCAACCACGCTGTGGTACATCCATCACCAACCTTACCTACGGTGCAGAATGTCCCTCTTTGGGAACTTACCAGGGTATAGAAGGTCCTCCATGATCTCTACTACCTGACATTACAGTGGTCATTTATCTGGTTTACTTTCTGTCTCCTCGAAATACAATGTAAATCCCATCAGGATAGAGGCCATTTCTCTGATATTCATCGTTTCCAAAGTAGAGGCATACTTCATTTTATTGTGCTTTGCTTTATTGCATTTTAAAAACAACGCCCTCCAGCAGCAAAAATATTACAACTTGCTGAAGGCTGACGATGGTTAGCATTTTTTAGCAATAAATATTTTTTAATTAAGGTATATACATTGTTTTTTTTTTTTTTACACATAACGCTACTGCACACTTAACAGACTACAATATAATGAAAACTTTTTTTCCTCCCGGAGGAAGATTTGTCGAACTAACACTGGTTGCCAATCTTTCTCTTTTTGCTTGAGGAAGATTTGCCCTGAGCTAACATCTGTGCCAGTCTTCCTCTATTTTACATGCAGCCGCCACAGCATGGCTGACAAGTGGTGTAAGTACAGGCCTGGCATCCGAACCCGTGACTCCAGGCCGCTGAAGCAGAGCATGCTGAACTCAAACCACTAGGCCACGGGGCCAGCCCCTAAACATAACTTTTATATGCAGTGGGGAACCAGAAAATTTGTGGGACTCACTTTATTTCAATATTTGCTTTACAGCAGTGGTCTGGAACCAAACCCACACTATCTCTGAGGTGTGCCTATACCTAGAACAGTGCCTGGTACCTATGTGGTATATATCAGCCATGCAATAACCACATGTTGAATGATTATTTTAGGTGCTGTTCTAGGTTCTGGGGATATAGTGGTCCAAATAAGCTTCTTGCTCTCATAGAGTTTACAATGTTCTGTTGAGGGAGAAGAACAAAGCAAACTTCAGCCTGTGGTAAGCAGCTTTTTGAAGAGGTACTGGAAACAGACTAAGTGGGACCTGGTAGACTCTGGTGAGCACATGGAGAGACAGTGAGGTATTTTAAGCATAAGACTGACATAATCTGATTTATATTCTAAAAAGATCACCCTGGTTGATAGGTCAAAAATGAATAAGAAAGGAACAAGAGCTGGAGAGAGAAGTGAAAAGGCTAATCTCGTGGTTCAGGCAAGAGATGGCGGTCATTTACGGTGAAAGCATAAGAGCCGGAGGAAAATGGGTCGATTCCTGATGTATTTTAGAGATACTCAAGAAGATGTGCTAATGGCTCAGATGTGGGGATAAAGGAAAGAGCGATCAAGGATAACTACTAGGTTTGTGACTTAAGAACCTGGGTGGGTACTTGAAGGAGTAGAAAGAGGAGAAACATGAACTTGAAGGTAGAGATGAGGAACCATACTGAAAATAGGTAGATGACTAAATGGGGGGACTCCCCCACCCTCAGTTCTATCCCCACTTAGCTCCTGAAATACTCCAAACATCTGGGCAGCCAGACATTCCCCCAGGCCGGAGATGAGAGAAGTCCTCTCCGAGGATGATGAGAGAAGACAAAAGACCTAACAGGTTCTGCTGTAGGAGCTCTCCCACAACAACACCCCCTGGGGCCAATCCAGTCATTCTACAAGTCTAGCATTGATCAGCCCTCCCCACACCGTGTCCCCTCCCCCCAAGCTTCCAATCACCATTCTAGTGCCTTAACAACCACCACTGATCACCAGACACTGAAGAAAAGCCTCTAACAATAAAGAGAGAAACAAAAATAAAGCAATGGAAAGGAGGAGGAGAACCCAAGAGGAAAGAAGACAATGCATCAAGCAAATTAAAACGTCTAAAACAAATTGTAATTAATACCCTTAGGGAGATCAGAGAATATATATCCATTAAGAACCTCAGTCTATAAATAAGGAACAATAAAAGAAAAAAAACTTTTGGAAATTAAAAATATGACAGCAAAACTAAACAACACAACTAGATGATAAAGTTGAGAAAATCAGAAAGTATAACAAAAGAAAATAAATAGAAAACAGAGAGAAAAGAAAATTAAGAGGATAAATCCAAGAGACTCAAGAGTGAATGGGCATCCAGTATGCAGAATAAATAAAAAACTCCTACAGCTCAAAAACAGAAAGATAAAAAATCCAATTAAAAAATGGGCAAAGGACTTGAACAGATCTTTCTCCAAAGATGATATACAAATGGCCAACAAGCATACGAAAAGATGCTCAACATCACTAGTCACTGGGGAAATGCAAATCAAAACCATAATGAGATACCACTTCACATCCACTAGGATGGGGCAATAATCAAAAAATGGAAAACAACAACTACTGGTGAGGATGTGAAAAAACTGGAACCCTCGTACATTGCTGGTGGGAAAGTAGAATGGTAAGTGATACAGACAAGAGTAAACACAGCATTCTCATATGACCCAGTAATTCCACAGATAAGTATACACCCCACAATACTGAAAACAGGCATTCAAACAAAAACTTGTACACAAATGTTCACAGCAGCACTATTCACAAGAACCACAAGGTGGAAGCAACCCAAATTTCCACCAACCAATGAACGGATAAATACATAAAATGGGCTACTGTTCAGCTTTAAAAAGGAGAAAAGTACTGATACATGCTGTAATGTGGATGAACCTCAAAAACGTTATGCTCGATGAAAAGACTCAGACACAAAAGGCCACGTATCGTAAGATTCCATTTATGTGAAACATCCAGAATAGGTAAATCCACCGAGACAGAAAGCACATTAGTGATTGCCAGATGCTGGGAGGACAGATGAAGAGCGAGAGAATCCTTAACGGGTACAGGGTTTCCTTTTAGGGTGATGAAACTGTTTTGGAAATAGAGGTGATGTTTGGACAACATCACGAATGTACTAAATGCTACTGAACTGTACACTTTAAAGTGGTTAATTTTATTTTATGTGAGTTTTACCTCAAGGGCAAGAGCCAACAGGCAGGGGTGGTGTGCATGTGAGGAAACAGTCACAGCAAGGGTTAAGAAGTTTCAAGGAGGACAGCTGAAATAAAGCAGCAGATCGGGGGAAATATGAGATCAAGGGAGGGATTCTTCTTCCTTTCTTTTTGAGATAGGACATCCCAGACACATTTATGCTGCTGTGAATGACCCAGTGGAGAAGAGAGCGCTAAGAGGGAGGCAGGAGTACAGCTCTTGAAAATGGAGAACACAGGTGGAGAAAATGGCCTTTGAGAGAGCATTAATGAGGGAACAGAATATACAGTCCTGGGCCGGCCCCGTGGCTTAGCGGTTAAGTGCGCGCGCTCTGATGCTGGCGGCCCGGGTTCGGATCCGGGGAGCGCCCCGAGGCAACACTTCTCCGTCCAACGCGAGGCCGAGTCCCACGTACAGCAACTGGAAGGATGTGAACCTATGACGTACAACTATCTACTGGGTCTTTGGGGGGAAAAAACTGAATAAATAAAATCTTTAAAAAAAAAAAAAAAAAAAAAAAAGAATATACAGTCCTCCCTTGGTATCTGGGGGACTGGTTCCAGGACCCCCTCGGATACCAAAATTCGCAGATGCTCAAGTCTCTTACACAAAATGGGGTAGTATTTGCAAATAACCTATGCACATCCCCCTGTATACTTTAATTCATCTCTACATGACTTATAATACCTAATACAATGTAAATGCTGTGTAAATAGTTGTCATACTGTATTGTCTAGGGAATAATGACAAGAAAAAAAGGTCTGTACATGTTCAGTACAGACCCAACCATCACAGGCCTTTCCATCTGCGGTTGGTTGAACCCGAGGATGGCGAACCTGCGGTTACCGAGGGCTGACTGTATATTCAAATTCCTATAGACTTGGATAGTGAGAAGATGAGGGTATTTCTGTGGATTGCCCTCATTTTTCAAAGAAGTTAAAGCAAACAGCTTTTTGTAATTTTTATTCGTAGCGGATGGGAGAGGGGTAGAATGGGAAGAGAAAATAAGAAAGGACTGTTTTGAAGAATGGGAAAGGAAACTTCTAGGATTGGAAGGTTGATGAATACTGCTCTCCTCCTCGGCCACTGGACACCACATAAATATACTTTTATTTTAAGAGCCTGACTATTGTGAGTGCTTCATTCAGTTTGCTGCCAAGAGGTGTATTAGAATGTGAAAACCAGTGAGTGTTTTCCCATGCTGAAACTAGTATTACATACAGCCTCCAACTTTAGACTATGATTAAGAGACAGAGGTACCTAGAATCTGTCCAAATCAAATACAGAGAAACTGTGATTTTCAGGATAATAACATAAGGGCACAGGACTCTTTAGAATGGGAACTAGATCTTGCAAAGGGTAAAATGAAGAAAGACCTCCTTCCATCCTGTGTAGTCCCTGAATGAATTGTGTACTCTTCCAACGGGGGTGTGTCTAGCTTTGTCTACTCCTGTATGTCTGTTTCTGAGACACGTAGGCTACTGTATAAACACCAAAGGCCCACTGTGAATAATCCAAAACATGCCCATTCACATGAAGCGGCTTTCAAATGGTTCAGCATAGACCGTGTAGCAGCACTATAAGTCTTCAGAGAATGATGTGGGCACGGCAGGAGGGTTGTGGGGAAACACGTGTGGGAACAAGTGGAGGACAGTCACAAAGGGACAGAGTCACAAAAGGAAATTGAATTATTTTTTAAAAAAAAAAGCGAAGCACATAAACTCACCGTTTTCGTCGTTCACCACACACTGGGTTTTCTCTTGACACTGCTTGGGTGCCACGACAGTCGCCACCTCTTGAACGTCTTTCATTAAAACATCACTGTTGACTTTAAGAATACTTTTAAGTCGGCTGAGCTCCTTCGGGGCATTCTTTTTTCTCTTTTCAGCACGCATCTTCCTTTTCCACTTACTCCGTAAGCTTTTAGCCATATTTTACCTGGAAAGTTAACAAAAATACATATTCAAAAGCAAATATTCACTATCAAAAAAAAAAAAGCAAATCCTTAAAAAACCAGGTCAAAACGTATCTCTACAAAACACGAACAAATGGAAGGTAAAACTCTTCACAATTTATGATGGCATACTGTGCAAATTCTGTGAGGATCAACACAGCACATGCAGCCATTCAATAACAATTAAGAACACCAAATCAAGCCCCCGGTCACCAGCGAACTACAAGTCAAGCCAATTCTGAAAGCTCCTGGAGTTTCCATACAAGATGCAGAAATCTGGGGCCGGCCCCGTGGCGCAAGTGGTTAAGTGCGTGAGCTCCTCTGCGGCGGCCCGGGGTTCGCCGGTTCAGATCCCCGGGGCGCACCGACACACTGCTTGTCAGGCCACGGTCAGGGTGGCGTCCCATATAAAGTAGAGGAAGATGGGCATGGATGTTAGCCCAGGACCAGTCTTCCTCAGCAAAAAAAAAAGAGGACTGGCATTGGATGTTAGCTCAGGGCGGGTCCTCCTCATAAAAAAAAAAAAGATGCAGAAATTTAATTTCCCCCAAAATGCAAACAGCATCATCACCTTACATTTATCCAACAATTCACAAATTTAAAAATGTTTTTATAAATATCTCTTTTAATTGAATCTTGATTTCCCCCAAACCTATACAACATCCCAGCCCAATCTTCCTCTTATCCACCCCCTCAAATTAATCTAGCTATTTTAAACTTGTTTATTTCCACTCTTGCTTTCTCTCCACCACTCAGCCTCAGCCCTAAATCTTCCAAAAGGTGGTTAGTGTGAGCTTTTAAAAACTTACAGCGTATCAGTGCCTTTCTTGGAATTCTTTAACGATTTCCCACCTCCTATATTCAAGATCTACCAGGTTGTGACCTGTCCTCTGCCTCCTTCAACTCTATCTCATTTTATGCTCCACCCCATCCCCAAGTACCAATTACATCTGAAACAACTCCAACCAATGACAACCTTGGGACAGTGCAGGCACGTGATGAGGGGTGGGAATAAAACGATTACAGGGATTATCGAGTTTAAAGGGAAACTTTTGGCAGTGATTTACAACATCATCTTGACTGTGCTGAGAGATTTACGTCTGTATACATATATCAAAACTCACGTTACACACTTGAAACGTGTGCAGTTTGTGTTAATTATACGTCAATAAAGCAGTTAAATAAATCATTAAGACATGGAAAAAGAATAAGAATAAAGTCTCAACTGTGTCCAGTCAGTACCTGTACGGCTGCCGTTCCTGTCTGGGAAGTGATCTCCGCGAGGCTTGCTCCACCACCCCAGGACCTCGGACAGGGCGTCTCTGACCCCGTACGCGCCCCTTTCTAGTCTCCACCACACCAGCCTCTCCTTTCCTTTCTAACACGCGTTACAGTCTGAGATTGCTGAGGCTATTCTGTCATCCCTGGCCGGGGGCTCCACGGAGGAGGGCTGCGCAGGTCGCGGTCACCGCGGGGCCCCAGCGCACAGCGCTCTGCACACAGGAGGCTGCATCAACGTTTGCGGGATGGAGGACCAGCAGTCACACTCACTCTGTGCCCCCGTCCGCACAACCCCAGCCCGCGAGGGGCAGGGACGGAGGCGGCGGTAAACCACCCCGAGGGCCGCGCTGACCGGGCACAATGACCAGAGCGGCCTCCGCTCGCACCGCGCAGGGACCTCGCCCTCGGGCCGGGCGCACGCTCGCCCAGAGACGGATGACGCTGGAGATGAGCCTCTCCATCGGCGGCCGGGTCGAGCCCCGGGCCCCACGCCCACCACACCCGGAGGCACACAACCCACCTGAGAAAACCCTGCTCAGCGACGCACGCGGGCCACGCCGACCAGAAGCCGCGCACTTCCGCCTTCCGGGCAGCCCTCTACTGCCCCGCCCCCGGTGGGCGCGCTGCACGCCGGGAGCCCCAGAAGGGAGGCGGGTCCTCTGGGTCCGGCGCACGCGCGGTTTCTGCCCCCGAGGCGAGCGCGGCCCCCAGTGCGTGGCTCTCACACGTGGGTTCCGAAGTCGGAGTTGGAGCATGCGGAGAATGCGGATGGAGGCTCGGGCGCCAGCGAGGCCGCGTGCCGGGCGTGGGCGAGGTGGCCCCGAGACCCCAACCTAGGAGTGATGCTGGCCAGGTCCCCGTGCCTGGCAGGTGGGGAGCGCGGAGCCCCTGAGATCTCACGGCCGCCTCCCCGTGTTCGCAGCACTCACGGATTTCCCGGGACTGCATGATCCCGGATCACGCGTTTTTCTAGAAGCCGAAATGAGATTATCTTGCTTTGCAGCCCTTAAATTTTCCCATTCCAGGGGTGGTTTCAAGGATGTATACGTATGTCAAAACTTATCACACTGTACACTTTAAATATGTGCACTTTATGTCAGTTTTACCTCAAAGTTGTTACCAAAAACAAAAACCCCTTTGCCATCCCAAAGACAAGTTTGGACTTGGGTAAAATGATCAGACTAATTCAGTTTAACCGATGTTTGCCTAGCTGATCACTTAATGCATACCAGACACAAGGCTAAGCCTAGGGCAGTTGTCTTAGGTGATGGTCACACTGGTCACAAACACCACCAGTTCTTTCATGATTATTTTACATCTGCTCCTGACAGCACAGGCTTTGGAACCAGACAGGTCTGTGTCCTATTTTTGGTTCCGACACGTCCTTGTGAGTGAGGAGAGTAATTACCATCTCAGAGCCTGGGTTTCCTCATCCACAGCTGATACAACTGAAGGAAATAAATTATATTAAAAATTTAAAAGTTACTACCTTAGAGACAGGCACCTTCACACCCTAAGGATTCCTGGTATAGGAGGGAACGTTTATCAATCCTGACTGACTCTATTCATGAAAGACCCACCCTAAACTGTTCGGGGAAGAATTGAGAACAAGAGAGTGCTCCAGAGGGATAAGTTTGGGAGGGTCGGGGTGGAGGGGGTCCAGATGGGAACGCGTGTGTGTAACCTGATAATCGCTTCGCGCCATAGCAATTCGCGCCATAAAATGTAACTGTTTAAATTAGCCAATCATGTAAGATCGCGCCAACCTTTTCCCGCTTTATGCTTCCGAATCCTATAAAAGAGCTTGCCCTTTAAGGTTCGGGGTCGACTCCTCTGTCTCCTGCGAGAGATAGGTGTCGACCCGGAGCTCCGCTTAAGACCCGGAGCTCCGCTTAATAAACCTCTTACCTCTTGCGTTTGCATCAAGCTCGGTCTTCTGTGTCTGTGGGTCCGCGCCTTCCCGAGACTGGAGTTGGGGTCTCCTTTTTGGGATCCTACACAACCTAACTGATCCCAGGTAGGCGATAAGGCTTCAACAAATGGTAGCTCTCACCATTTTCACATAATAATTTCAAACGTGCACGGTACTATTTCTAAGCAGTATTTTCCATAGATTTACAACATATACCAAAAACCAGGAAATGAATTGTCTTTAATGATGTCCTAGTAACTTCCTATCTGATTGCTAGTGAGGGAGAGTTCTTTCTGAGACAATTTGTGGGACAATTGACACAATCTGAGACAATCTGAAACCTTTTTTCTTTAAATTTGTGTCCTTAAAGAAACCCTGCATCATATGGAAATTACTAAATTCAGAATACAGCAAGTTTTTTTTAAACAGAGGCTGAAAAAAGCTCATAAGGTGGTTTATAAAAAAGAAGCATGCTTGAGAAACATGCTTTCTTTAAGTAGATTAAGTTCTTATAGAGCAAGAGAATTTCTTTTTTACAAGTTAATCATATATTAGATCTTGGCTGCCTCTCCCCAAAATACATGTTCACGTTGCATTTTAGAGAATGCTCACTTTCAGATAGTCCAAATTGACTGCATCTTGCTTAACATACCAGGCCAAGACTTTTGAATAGACACTTGGCACCAGAAAAGAGAAAAAAAAAGTATCTATTATGAAAATGTCGTGGTGTTAAATATATGCCATAATTCTGCATTACTAATGCTTTAAAAAGCTGAATCAAAGGCTGCAGTGGAGAGGGGGGAAAAAAAACTTATGTTTCTCACCAGTTTGTATAAAAGCAGTTCTGACAGAATAGTTAAATGGCCTTGGTATATTCAAAAATCCTTAATTCATTCCCTCACTCATACATTTGAGTATGTGCTCTGTGATAGGCACTATGCTGGGTATACAAAGATGATGGACACTAAACTATCATCTTCAAGAAACCTTAACCCCTGAGGGAGGGACAAGCCTTAAGGGTCAAACTGGACACTGCCTCAGCTCCCTCACTGAGCCCTATGGGACTGAAGACACAATACCTGCCAGGGAGCAAACTGGTTCCCCATCTCAAAGGCATGCTATGTTATGGGCACCAGCCAGTGGGGCCTCTGCAGTCAGGCCTCTCCCGAGGAACCCATGATCTGAATAATCACTTAGTAAGGACTAGGAAGACTTCTGGGATTCAGATGGTGACCCCATGTTGCCCAGGACCTAGATGATGGGGACTTCAGGAGAAAGCTCTACAAAGATGAACAAGCAAAAAAGCTGAGTTTCCAGCTGCTCCAAAAAGGCCTGCTGGCTGCTGACACCATAATCCCCAGAAGTGCATCAAGTGAACTGAAGCCAGGTGTGAGGCCTTCAGAGAAGACACAAAGGCAGGCAGACACGGCCCAGTGCACCTGTCTCCCCAAGTGACATTCACTGAAAACAGTTCTCAGATTCTGCTCTCTCCTCGCTTTCCTCCTACCTCTCTGGCTGTACTCTGTATCTTGCACGTGGAGCTGCCCGCCACTCTGTCCAAGTCCGGCTAGTTCTACTTTTTTAATATTTCTGGAGGCTGCATATTGTCACCTTTACTTGATGTAAAAGATTGAAGTTGCATGTGCCCAGCAATTCTGCTTCTAGGTATACTCCCTGTCTCAGCAAACTCTCCTATCTGTGCACGCTGGGACACATGGGGATGTACACAGCAGGACTGATTGTGATAGCAGAAAAGGAGGAACCATATAAAACTCATTGACTGAACAATGTGTGAATAACAATGGTTTATTTATAAAATATACCCTACATCAGTGGTTTTCAAGCTTCTTGGTCTTGTGATCTCTTTATACTCTTAGAAATTACAATATTTGTCATATTGGAAATTTTGAAAATTTGCCATTTTAAAAAGATAAATTAGATGTATACATTATATTTATTTAAAAAACTATATTTCCCAAACCAAAAAAGTAATTTTCTGAAAAGAACGGCATTGTTTTAAATTTTTTAAATGTCAAATCTGCTTCTGCTTATTTAGTGTCCTTAGTTCCAATTCAGTACATTCTGCCTTTAGATGACAATAGTAATATTATTAATAGCAGCTGACATTAACGAACAGTTTATATGATATATCCATCTCATTTAATCCTTATAATAGCCCAATAAAGTAGGTATTATTATTCTCATCGTCAAGATGAGGGAAAAGTCCTAAAGGAAGCATAAGCAAATTGCCAAAAGTCACATAATCAGTAAGCTGCATGGCAAGGATTCCAACTTAAATGCTTCTATCCACTATGCTACATTAAACTTGAGTACACCCTCATGCAATTGGGTGTTCAACAGATAACTGATAATGATCTAGCCAAATTTACATCTAAAATTCACCAGAGGTTAAATCTATACTACTAATTTGTTTAAACTTAATAGCTGGGAAGTGATGCTTAGTGAGTGTTATGGGCTGATGAGCTGTATCCCTCACTCATACGATGAAGTCTGTCTTAGTCTGTCCAGGCTGTCATAACAAAATACTAGAGACTGGGTAGTTCATTAACAACAGAAATTTATTTCTCACAGTTCTGGAGGCTGGGAAGTCTAAGATCAAGGTGCTGACAGACTCGGCGTCTAGTTAAAGTCCCTCCTCCTGGTTCATGGACTGGTCTTTTTGCTGTCACCTCATGTGGCAGAAAGGGAGAAGGATCTCTGTGGTCTCTTTTTATAAGAGCACCAAACCTATTCAGCAGAGCGCCATCCTGATGATCTAAGCACGTCCCAAAAGTCCTACCTCCTCATACCATCACATTGGGCATTAGGTTTCAACATATGAATTTTGGAGGGACACAAACATTCAAACCACTGCAAAGTTCTAACCCCTAGTACCTCAGCATGCGACTGTATTTGGAAACAGGGTTGTGAAAGAGGTAATTAAGGTAAAATGAGGTCATTATGGTGGGCGCTAATCCAATATGACTGGTATCCTTATAAGAAGAGGAAATTTAAACACAGACAAGTCCAGAGAGAAGACCATGTGAAGACACAGGGAAAAGATGACTATCCACTAGCCAAGAGACACCTCAGAAGAAACCAACCCTGTGACACCTTGATCTCAGACTTCTAGCCTCCAGGACTGTGAGAAAATAAATTTCTGTTTAAGCCACCCAGTCTGTGGTACTCTGTTATGGCACCCTAGCAAACTAAACAGTGAGGGAATTTGCCAAAGTTCCACTGGCCACTGGTACACTGCTATAATTTAAAAATGAAACCTGTACTTAAAAAGCTAATAATGTCAAATTTTATGTCAAAAATCTGACTTTCAGACTTTTAATTTTTAATATATCATTTTATAATGAAATGTCATTAACATTTTAATATAAATTTAATACTGAATAATTCTCTGTGGAATTTATCTTTTATACTTTTTCCTTTCTAAATAAGATTAAAATCTAGTAAAAGGAGATTTATACTTTATAATGGTAAGGACACAAGTACTTTAAAATCAAAATCAAATCTAATGTTACTTAATTAAGGAAAAATTTAGATAAAATCACTAGACAAAGATAAATTGACATTCTTAATCTAATTTACTCATGAAATTATTTATTTATTTATTTATTGGTGAGGAAGATTAGCCCTGAGCTAACATCTGTTGCCAATCCTCCTCTTCTTGCTGAGGAAGATTGGCCCTGGGCTCACATCTGTGCCCATCTTCCTCTACTTTATATGTGGGACCCTGCCACAGCATGGCTTGATATGCAGTATACAGGTCCGTGCCTGGGATCCGAACCCATGAACCTGGGGCCACCAAAGTGGAGCATGCAAACTTAACCACTATGCCACCGGGCCAGCCCCTCATGAAATTTTTTTTTTTGTGAGGAACATCAGCCCTGAGCTAACAATTGCCAATCCTCCTCTTTTTGCTGAGGAAGACTGGCCCTGGGCTAACATCCATGCCCATCTTCCTCCACTTTATATGGGACGCCGCCACAGCATGGCTTGCCAAGTGGTGCGTCGGTGTGCGCCCGGGATCCGAACTAGCAAACCCCAGGCCACCAAAGCAGAGCGTGCGCACTTAACCGCTTGCGCCACCGGGTGGGCCCCTCATGAAATTATTTTTGAATTGCAAATGAACAATCAGATGGCAAATTTAGGACTGAAAAATAGAATTTTGATATCTCTTACTTGAGATTCTAAATCAAGGATTTAGACCATAAAGAACAGTAAGATTTACATTATAATTATATAATCTAGTAATTATATTATATATTTAATATTATATATTACATATAATTATATTATAATTAGTATTATATAATAGTAATGATACCGGCTCAAGACAAGGTTGACATAAGGGAAGCCATATTGTAGAAAAAAAAAACTCTGTTGTAACTTTGAATGACCTCTGACAAACCAACCCAGCTGGATACGCACCCTCCAGGAGATCTAACTGCTCTGTAGATTGTATGACCCCTGCTTGTGCACGTACCTCCCAACTGTGATAAGATGATAACCTCGTTTTTTTTGAGTTCCTCAGGAATGTGATGAGCCCCGAACAGAGAATCTATGCTGATAGCCATCATCAGTGAAAACTACAAGATCTGGTGTGGCACTCCCAGTCTGTAACACCAGAAGGTCAACATTCCTAACCCCCTCCCCGATAACACAATGGCCTATATAACTGCTGTAAGATTTCATGCCCCCTTAAGATGGTTCTTTTGGACATGAGTCGGCCATTTTCCCTCTTGCTAGCAAGCTATAATAATAGTCCTTTTTCTCCTACCACATTGCCTCTTGACTATTGGCATGTCTTGCAGCGAGCAAAGGCCCCACGCTGGGTGGTAACAATTTGGCACCCCAGATGGGACATTAAGTCCTGCTCGTTGCCAGCCGACCTCGGACGGGCAGCCTGTTGGCTAAGTCCCTAGCAGCCGCTGAGGCACTGTCTCTGGGGATCTGCCCTACCTGCTCTCCCGTGCCGACGCTGGCTGCCTCCTAACACTGATGTGGTAGGAAGAGATGGCTACATCTGGTGGGTCAACGGGCTCACATCTGGAGTAGAGTAAGTCACCTTGGGGGTCCACCGCTGAGAACTTTCCTTCCCCTCCATCTGGGGTCCCCTCTTTGAGAAGGGGGGCCACCTGGTAAATAGGGCGCCCTGCCAGAGTGAGAAGAATAGGACTTCACCCAGAATCTAGGAACCAGTGTCTAGTTTGTCTGTGTCTGTAAAGAGCTCCAAGATCAGACATCTTTTGCATTTGGGTGAGTGACCATGTTAAAATGCGCCTGTGCCTAAAATTGTCTACTATCTGGTCAGGATTGTGGGTTAGAGGCCCCACTGGTGAGATCTGGTTGCTGGGTTAAAGTCCCAAGGCTAGGATAGTGGGAGACAATATAAAGGTTACAGCTGCTGGAGCACTCAAAAATATCGGGTTAGAGTCCCGAACTCTTGGGTAGGGTCCAAGAGTACCCTGGGTTAGAGCCCCAGAGATTGGATTTCTGTATCTGTTCATGTTTGTCTATGTTGGACTGTGTTATTTGTTAAAATTGGCTGCTTGGGGACTGAGTTTTTCGGTGACCGTAACAAACTGCCTTTTAGACTAATCTTATGAGAGTCTTCCGACTCTGAAGAAAAGAGGCACTGTTCCCTCTTGTCCTTCGGGATGCTCCCAGGTGACTGGGGACTTTACAGAGGTGTCGGGGTGTCTGCCCATGACGTGCAACGGCCTCATAGGGACCCCTCCAGAAGAACATATCTTACTGGGCCCTCATTGGTCATGGTGAGGCAATCGGCAGCCGCAGCTTGTCCGGAGTTTAAATCACCTGACCTTTGTGGGTGCCGGGACACATAAGGGAAAGAGCCAACCCCTTGATTATTCTTGGGGGAGCTGCTCCCGCTAGCTCACTATCAGACCTTGTTTGTTGCGGCCACCTTGATAGACGCCCCCCCTAAAAGGGAGATAACTGTAAAAAGCTGGCAAAATAACCCGGGATAATTTAAAATTACAGTGGCCACTTTGGGCTCTTTTTGAGCCTCCAAACCAAGGAACAAGGAAAAATCTTTAATCTTTAATCTTGAAAGAGTCGAGGGCTCCACCTTTCAACCAAAAGTTTCCAAAAGGTGTAAATGCTTACCGAGAACAGCAGAATCTTACCAAGCTTGTTTTGTGTCCTGAAGGCTTGGCTTGATAATTGTCAGGTTGTGGGGGGAACCCCAAAATACGGTCAGACGAAAATAGGGTGCACCTCATTCTGCGGTCAGAGATAGTCGGACGAAAATGCGGGTTGTACTCCTGTTTGTGGCTAAGAGTCCTACCAAACTGCCGTCCACCTCAGGGGAATTACATTGGCTATTTGAAGAAAGGCTCGGCTGGGCCTTCATTATAAGGGTCTTGATTTTAGGGATGCTTTAAATTTTCACAATCTGATTCTAGCTGCAACATAAACATGCTTTTGACCAGTCGTGTCTAAATTCTGAAACAATGGGAGGCCCTAATTTTATGCCCACCTGAAACGCCTTAGGCTGCATTCTCCTGAATTGGGTGACTTTCAGCTACAGGTAAGCAGTAGAAGCTACTGAACATTCTTTGATTTATTGATCCTTCTCCTCCCAGAGACGGTCGCTATTTTCCCTTGTTTCTGTTTTTTTGTGTCATTTGTCATAAAGGAAAACCCATAGAGCAAGATGCAGACAGCTCCACAAGCGTGTTGTCTGGGCAGGCTTTGCCCAGTAGACTTTGCCCAGTAGACTTTGACGCAGGGCCCCGCCTGTGGAGTATGTGCATAAGGTGGAAGCTGTTGCTAACAGGGCATCTTGGAAGCCAAAAGAGCCGCAATATTGGTGGGCATGGGTCCAGCAGTTAAAAGCCATTAGGGCGTTTGCCAGCTCCAGAAGTCTCCTGTGAAAGGGTAAGTTGGGTCATAGAACGGGGTAGATGACACAGGTCCCCCGCCAACTGCAAGAAAATGTCCGTGCAACGACGAGGTACTCTGTAAAGCACACAGTCCCCAACCCCACGGCATCGCCCCCCTAGGTATTAGTCTGGCTCCAAGAGACCCAAAGCATAGCTAAAGCTGTTAACGTGCATATAAGATGAGGGTTTTTTTTCCCTCTTTTTGTCTTGTTCTATGTCTTGAGAACTTGGCTTTGTGACCTCTTTGGTCATGAGGGTCCCAGGCCATCGGGGACCTTTGTTGTCTCAATCTGTGTTATTGGTTGGTGCACTGCCGCCTGTGCAGTGAAGGCCTTTGCTTTCTTGGGCTGGTGTTTTTTTTTTTTTGGAGTGAAATTTCTGGATCTTGTGAGGGCTACTCCTTTTGCATTCTCTTTTGGGGATACCTTGTGTCCACAGTTAAGCCATAAATGCTTGTAGATATTGGGATATTAAAAACTGACAAGACAGATATCCCCCAGAAACTGCATCTTGGGAAAAACCTCAGTGGCTTCTCTGTGCTTTTATGATGTAGTTGGACAGGTACATCAACCTATAATGTCTTTTCAGTTACAACCCAATTTCTGAGAAATTAAGAGCAAATGTCCTTAAAAAAAATCCTTTTAAGACTGGAAAAGCAGCTCTAGAGGCAGTTTAGATTCCACCCAGTTCCTTTCTCTCAAGAAGGGTTATCGCCTCGCCCCTCTCTGGGAAGTGTTATCTAGCTCATCACCAATTTCTAAGACTGAAGAAAAAACAAAAAAAGTAAAAAGGCAAAAAAACGGCCACAGGAGAGCGCCTGGCCAAAAATCTAGCATCTCAAGTATCTTCACAAATATTAGTAAAAAAGGCTTAAAACAAAAATTTGGATTCATAATTGGGAAGCCTTGTACCTGATTCATGGCAGTAACAGCTGTGCAGTCTCTGTGTGTGTGTCTATATGTATGTTACCTATGTGTGATGTTTTACCTCCAGATGGTATGGTCAAAATTAAGAGCTCTATTCAATTCACTTGAAGTAAGCACTTACAAAAATTATTTCTAAATGCAGTTAACCCAAATGTCTTTCAAGTTAACATGATATAAATTAATCTTTGGTAAATAAAACCTGGTTTAAGTTTGTTGGCTTGATTGACAATTGTTGGAAACAAATGATTTAGATAAAAATAAGTAAGAGTTTTTGGGTACAATAATTATGTTTTGTGGTCTGGTCTGTTATGTTTTGGAAAAACAGCTTCCAAAATTCCTTTTGGTAACTTAAACTAGAGTTTTTGATAAAAGTTCATTGAGTATCTGGGTCATTTTCAAATAAAATAAAATACTGAAGCATTATTGCTAAACATATCTAAGTTTATCTACTTTTGGTTTATTTGAGAAAAACTAAAAGGTGTTTTGGGTCTATTAGTAAACATGTCTTGTGTTTTATTAAAAGATTGTACTATAAAGTAACATGTTTCCAGAAATTATGAAAAATGTTGCCAATAAATTGCCAAGAAATAAATTTCCCAAGCTACAGAATGCTAATATAAAAGACAGTTTATAACTGCTTACTTAGTTTTTACTTAAAAGTCAAAGTCTAAAAGGATTAAAAAAAAAAATTCTAAGATGTAACTAAAGCTACTAAAAATTAATAAAGAAAACAGCTCTGTATACAAAGAAAGTAAGATGTGTATAGTAAAGAAGGTACAAAGAATGGAAATATTTTGGTTGGTTAAGAAAGATAAATTTGTCTCTAAGTACTAGAAAGGAAGAAAGGAAAGCATGAGACAAATTCTGAATGTAAAAAGAAAGTTACAGAAGGTTTGTGGAAGAGGAATTCTGGAAAAAGTTTTATGCATGGTCAAGTTGGCTGAGATTAAAGTAAATCCAATTAAGTAAATGAGTTTTGACATCAGAAGCTGGTACAAAATTAAAATTTGGTCTTCTTTCTCTTAAAAGGATAATTTTCTTGAACTTGATAAAGAGGCTATAAAATGCTTTTCTTTACCTTTGAGTCTACCTAAAAGACAGAAAAACTGTTAAAATAATTTCCTGTGTTCAAAGGACTGAGGTCTCTCTATTAAGGTTTTTTTTTTTTTTGACTATTTTAACTCTCTGTTTGCCCTTGACTGTTTAAATGGATAACTGAGCATCGTTTTGCAGTGAGCATTATTTCCTATTTGATCAAGTGTTTTAAAACCTTTTGATATTTTTTTGACAAGCTCCCCAAAATTCATATCTTAAATAAAGTCTTTCTTTTGACTTTTTCTTTGAGAATTTTCAGAGGGCCCCTGGAACTTCTCAAAGAAATTTGCTCTCTTCCTATAAGGAGGAAGATACTAAACTTATTAGGCTTATTCGGTATGTTAAATTACATGGGAAGCATTGTCAAATAAGTGATAAACCTTCTTAGGTGATATTGTGTGGGTAAATGTTAATGATATAGGTGCTTTAAAAGTGTATAACACTACTGAAATTCTGATCTGTCCTGGTTATCAGTCTGGTTCTGGTTATTATTTTAAAGTATTATATGTCACAAAATTAACCAAATTTTTTTGTCAATTGCCATTTTGGGGTCTTGTTGTTTACAGACAGTTAATGTTTGATGCTTTTGCAAAATATGTTTCATCTTCAGAAAAATTCATGGAAAGGACTCTGACACTTACTCTAGGATACAGGTTTCTCATAAACTTTCAGATTATAAAACTGAACTGGGTAAGACATAACAGAACTCTGACAGAGAAACTGCAGACTTCATGCAACTGCTAACAGGAGATTAAGATCAAGAATCAATCACACTGGACTGGATGAACTGATGGGGATGATTACAATTTTTATGACTTTTATTTGAAATATGCTGATTTTTTAAATATTTTGTTTTTTTAGATTGAAGGAAAACTTTTTCTCTTTTCTCCTGAGATAGCTATGACTTATGGCAATTTGGTATATTATACCTTTGTAAGCAGAATTTAAACATTTATCTTTTTCTCCCTACCTGATCGCTCCAGGATTTGGAAACTCTTAGTGAGTGAGTATTGTTTTCAGGGCAATATAGTTATTTGCATAAGTTCAATAAGAATCTGTTCTCCTTATAACAGGACACAATTGGTTATATTACTGGTTATACAACTGGTTATATTACTAAAGCTTTGACTGGAATGGGACAAGACAGCTTCTGAGAGACAAAGATTGGACTTTATGGAATAAAGCCACATGGAAGTATTGGCCTGGCACCTTATGTTCAGTGTTCCAAGCAGCATTTACTGGATAAGTAAGGAATGTCACTTATCTGGCAGGTGCAAGAAACCTCGAAATATTTTGGGGGACCTCGAGAAGAGACAAATTCACCCAAACCTGTAGGTATTGCAGACAAAGGCTGATGACAAAGTCCTTGGCTTGCCTTTCCTGGCCTCGAGAGGCCTTTGAAGTCCAATCTGAGATTCCTTATAAAGGGTTCCAGCAAAGCAGATTTAAAAGAGCCTATATGATCAATGGCTATTCTTGCTGTACTTATATAAGTAATTGGGCCAAGTTTATTTCATTTTGCAAACCATTTAGTTTAATTTGGCTATCTTTGATAAAACGAGGGTGATTTTAGAGAGAAAAATCATGTTTCAATAGAAACTATAGTACACGTTCTTGGATATTAGGTTCTAGTTCTGATAACTAACAGGAGATTAAGATCAAGAATCAATTACACTGGACTGGATGAACTGATGGGGATGATTACAATTTTTATGACTTTTATTTGAAATATGCTGATTTTTTTTTGAGTTCTGTGTTTTATGTGTTAGCGGGACTGGATCCTGAATTCTTCTAGTATCTTTAAATATCTGGCTACAAATCTCCAAACTAATGTTTTCAATTTTTTTTTCCATCACTTTCATTTGGAATCACTGAGAACTGAACCTGCCCTTTTTCTACAGCCTTGCAAACTGAAGCTGGTGGACTAATATAAACTTAAGAGAGATTCATGTCTGTTGCTAGTGTAAGCCACTCGGAAAGGTACCTGAATACCCGATGACATCATCAGGGACATTTAAGCTGCAAAAGATGCTTTGACGCTGATATCCAGAAATCTTCTTGACTGGCTGTCCCCTGGACTCAGAAACTGGTTTATAATTTGCTCCCACCATTAACTTTGTTTTTCTTTTTGTCTTATTAATTACCCAGTTGCTTGCTTCTACAATGTAAGCCTAAATTTGAGAGCCTACCTGCATCACTGTCTTACTAAGAGACTGGCTCAATAAGATGGAACAACAGGACATCTCTCAAGATTGAGGGGTTAAATAGCAAAGGGGGGATATTGATAGCGGCTCAAGACAAGGTTGACATAAGGGAAGCCATATTGTAGAAAAAAAAAAACTCTGTTGTAACTTTGAATGACCTCAGACAAACTAACCCAGCTGGATATGCACCCTCCAGGAGATCTAACTGCTCTGTAGATTTTACGACCCCTGCTTGTGCACGTACCTCCCAGGTGCGATAAGATGATAACTTCGTTTTTTTGAGTTCCTTAGGAATGTGATGACCCCTGAACAGTGAGTCTATGCTGACAGCCATCATCAGTGAAAACTGAAAGATCTGGTGTGGCACTCCCAGTCTGTAACACCAGAAGGTCAACATTCCTAACCCCCTCCCCGATAACACAATGGCCTATATAACTGCTGTAAGATTTCATGCCCCCTTAAGATGGTTCTTTTGGACATGAGTCGGCCATCTTCCCTCTTGCTAGCAAGCTGTAATAATAAAGTCCTTTTTCTCCTACCACCTTGCCTCTTGACTACTGGCACATCTTGTGGTGAGCAGAAGGCCCCACGTTGGGCAGTAACAGTAATACATATATTACCATTATACTATATTACAGTAATAACTCAGAAATCACTGAAGTATTTAATAGTTAATTATATCTCAAACTTCATTACTTAATGAATCAGTTTCTATATACTGCTTTCAATCACTTTTTATTAACTGCATCCAAAAACCGCAACAGGTGCAGGAATAAATTGATGATATCCAAGTAGAGGCTGATGGCAGCTAATACATACTCTTCAGGCGACAGCCGATGCATCAGTGAGTGTGTGTCATAGACAATGAATCCGCAGAAAAGAAGGGCCCCTAGAGCAGCCAAGACCAACTCCAATGTCTCACTATAAAAAAACAACTACAGGCAAGAGATTCAAGTAATAAGTTTACAGTTCAGAACAGTATTAAGAATACTTAAGTTACTTGCTCTTAAGTTACATATGCTACATACATATTTAATAATGCTGTACAACTTTGAATACAAATGTTAGAAGCAGAAAAAGGCAAAGCAGGTCCACCCTCGCTTCTGCTAGATCAAAGAATGAATGCATGAATCAATGGATATCCTCCTTTCTATTAAATGACCCACTTAACTTTGAACAGGAACATTCCAAATATAAATTATTTAAAAATATATTTCAAAAGCTTTTGCACAGGAAAGGAAACCATCAACGAAACCAAAAGACAACCTAAAAATTGGGAGAAGATATTTGCAAACCATATATCTGTTAAGGGGTTAATATCCAAAATATACAAGAACTCATACAGCTCAACAACAAAAAAACTAACAACCTAATTAAAAAATGGGCAAAAGATCTAAACGGATATTTCTCCAAAGAAGATATACAGATGGCCAACAGGCACATGAAAAGATGTTCAACATCATTAACTATCAGGGAAATGCAAATCAAAACTACAATGAGATATCACCTCACTCCTGTCAGAATGGCTATAATTAACAAGACAAGAAACAACAAATGTTGGAGAGGATGTGGAGAGAAGGGAACTCTCATACACTGCTGGTGGGAGTGTAAACTGGTGCAGCCACTATGGAAAACAGTATGGAGATTCCTCAAGAAATTAACAATGGAACTACCACACAATCCAGCTATTCCACTGCTAGGTATTTATCCAAAGAACATAAAAACACGAATGCATAAAGATACATGCACCCCTGTGTTAACTGCAGCATTATACACAATAGCCAAGACTTGGAAGCAACCTAGGTGCCCAGCAAGGGATGAATGGATAAAGAAGATGTGGTATATATACACAATGGAATACTACTCAGCCATAAGAAAAGATGAAATCCAGCCATTTGTGACAACATGGATGGACCCTGACAGTATTATGCTAAGCAAAATAAATCAGAGGGAGAAAGTCAAATATCATATGATCTCACTCATAAGTAGAAGATTAAAACAACAACAATCAATCACATAGAGACAGAGACTGGATTGGTGGTTACCAGAGGGGAAGGGGGGAAGCGGGGGGCAAAAGGGATGATTAGGCACATGTGTGTTGTGATGGATTGTAACTAGTCTTTGGGTGGTGAACACGATGTAATCTATACAGAAATCAAAATATAATGATGTACACATGAAATTTATATAATGTTATAAACAACTATTATGTATTAAAAATATATATATATATTTCATTTTCAGAATTATATGTGCCACTTGGAGGTTAGTAATTACAAGTGAGGGCCTCTTTCTGTGTAATTTAACTCATTTGTTCATTCATCTTTCTTTCAATCAACAATACTGATTAATATAAGCCCTTGATTTTTTTAAAAGATAATTTTATAATCATTCTATACACAAATATTCCAGATAATTATAACTAAGTGTCCTATCATACGAGTACCTCTTACAGCTTTTTTAGATTATTTATATTGACATGACCAGAATTATATTTCAAGTTACCATTTTAAAATAACCTACCTTCAAGAATCCTGACAAGCAGAAAATCCACAAAACAGTAAACAGTCTATAAAAACAAAGTATTAATAATTGAGAATGTTGTTCCTTACCAAAAAACTTGGCAAACCCATTCAACATTTTCTGAAGAAATAAATCCATCCTAATATTTTCCAAAGAATAATTGAAATATAAGAATTCACAAACATACAATGAATACTACAGAATATCCAGAAATTGAAAGAGTAGCTAGCTATTCAACATTTGTTTTTATGGTCTACAAAACTAGTTGAGTATCATTTTTACACTTTTCAATTGGAACACAAAGAAAATATGGATATAAGCAGAAATATCATTACAAGTATTTTAATTCAAAGATCTATAGAACTTCTAGAAAATATATACATGAACAAATGAAATGTAATTGCATTTTTAAACCAAATAACAATAGCAAGTTATTCTGTGAACATGCATATCCATTAAAGTTTCCCATGTACTATCTTATTCTGATGTATTATAGAACTTACTTTTATGCACATAAATTTGCCACTGCTATAATTTTATGAGTTATCATTCATACCTTTATATATAAAAATATAATTATGCATTAAATATATAAAGTATAATTATATGACAAAAGACATCTTAAGAAGTCAGTCCTTTGTTATCAAATATGAGACTTGGGAGCCTGAATACACATCTGCTTCAGGCCACAAGGAAGTACAGGGGCCAAATTTACCTTCCTTCCTTAAATAAAAACCAGACAAAATATACGAAACAAGTTTTCAGACACTGGACACCAAGCAGCACAGGACAGTGATTCCTTAGATAAGAGAAACAAAGAGGTGAGCTCTACAGCTGACCCAGGTAGCAAGTGTGTAGACAGGAACCCAGGGGGAGCCTTGCAGTCTCCTGGAGTTGAGGAGATGAGAATTCAGAGGTCAGAGAGGCCAAGGTGGCTAGAATTTGCAGGGCAAAGATCCAGAGAGGAGAGAGCTATGCAGACATCTAGTAGCTCTGGTGATAGACAGAGGGTTCCCCTCAAGTCTTTAGCTGCGTACTGATCGATGTGTACATGTGAGGGAGTGACAAAGGATGGGGAAAGAACCACCATAGAGAAGCAGGCCGAACAACCCTCAGAGCTCACACAGGGCCAGGTCTGCATTCACACAGAGCCAGAGTGCAAAGACCTCCTAAGACATGAGGCTTTGAGTAGTCCTCAGAAGGGCACTGTCTCAATAGCAGGGCCAAATTAGTCCTAAACTAAAAGCTGTTCTGGACCTGCCTAACAGAGCTTAAAAACAAGCCTCAAAAGGTTCAGACAGTTTCCAAGGAACTTAACCGCTTCCTGGAAGAACAAAGCCAAAGATATTTAAAGGAAAGCAAAAAAATTTAGCACCCAACAATGTAAAATTTACAATGACCAAAATCCAATCAAAAATGATAAAGACATGCAAAAGAACCAAGGAAATACAAATGATAACAAGGAGAAAAATCAATCAATAGAAACAAATTCAGAAATGACACAATGATAGAATTAGTAACAATGACATTAAAAAATATTCCATATATTCAAGGAGGTAGAGGAAAGCATCATCGTGAGGAGAGAAATGGAAGATATATATTTTTAAAAGACAAAAATTGAACTAAATTTCCATAGATAAAAAATACAATTTGTCAGGTGAAAAATACTCCGGTTGAGATTAATAGCAAATTAGACACTGAAGAAGAACAGATTATTGAACTTGAAAACAGCAACAGAAACTAACCAAAATGAATCACAGACAGAAAAAGACAAAAAAGAAAAAAAAATGAACAGAGCATTAGTGAACTATGGGACAACATCAAGAAGCCTAACATATGTAATTGGAGTCTCAACAGAAGGAGAAAGAAGGGAGAACATTAAAATAGTTGAAGAAATTACAGCTGAAAATGTTCCAAATTTGATGAAAACTTTAAACTGACAGATGCAAGAAGCAGAAGAAACATGAAAAAACCACACCAAAGAATATCATAATCAAATTACTGAAAATGTTAATAAAATTACTGAGAATTACTGAGAAAATGTTAAAGGTAGCTAAGGGATAAAAGACATATACAGAGGAAGAAAGAAAAGAAAGACAGCAGACTTCTTGTCAGAAAACTACACAAGCCAGAATATAGTGAAGTGACCTCTTTAAAGCACTGAAAGCAAGAAAAAAAAAAAAAAAACAGAATCCTATACCCAGCAAAAATATTTCCAAAAATAAAGGTAAAATAAAGATTTTCTTCAGATATACAAATGCTGAGACCAACAGACCAGCGCTATAAGAAATGTTAAAAGGAAATTCCTTAGGCAGAAGGGAAATATTAGATGGAAATTTGGATCTACACAAACAAATGGAGAACCACAAAAATGGTAAATATGTGGGTGAACATAAAAGACTTCATCTATTTTTTTAAATCTCTTCCAAAGATAATTTAATGTTTAGAGCAAAAATAATAATGTATTATGAGGTTCAGAACATATGTGGAACTAAAAGTTATGACAACAATAGCACAAAGGTAGGGGAGAGGAGATGTAAGTATACTATATATGAAATGGTATGTTATTTGAAGATAGACTATGATGATTTAAAGATGTATATACTATAAAATCTAGAACAACTTCTATTTAGAAGTTGTCAGCTAACAACCAATAAAGGAGATAAATGGAATCAAATAATCCAAAAGAGGGAAGGATAGAGGAATAAAGGAACAAAGAACAGATAGGACAAACAGAAAGAAAACAAATGGCAAGATAGTAGGCTTAAACCCAACCATATCAATAATCACATTAAATGTAAATGGTCTAAACATACCAATTAATGGGAGGGATGGTCAGATTGAATAAAAAAGCAAGATCCAACCATATGTTGCCTACAAGAAAACCATTTTAACTATAGAGACACAAATAAGCTAAAAATATAACAATGGAAAAAGATATACCATGCTACACAATCAAAAGAAAGCCAGGGTGGCTATAATAACAAAATAAGAGTTTAGGGGCAAGATTTATTACCAGAGATAACCACATCATAATGATAAATGGGTCATCAAGAGGACATAATCTTAAATGTTTATGCATCTAAAAACAGAGTTTCAAATCACATGAAGCAAAACTTATAGGACTGACAGGAGAAACCAACCAATCCATACTTGTAGTTGGAGATTTTAACACCACTTTCACATTAATTGATAGAAAAAGTAGGCAGAACATTAGTAAGCATACAAAAGACTTGAACAACACTATCAACTAAATTGACCTAATTGACATTTATCAAACACTCAT